GTCACTCTCGGCTGCAGTCGCTACTCCTTTGCTATTGCAGATAGAAATCCCAGCTAAACTTCATTCTCCTTCCAGTGTGGATTTTAGTTGAGAATGTTTTCTCCGTAGCCAACCCGCCAGCTGGCCATCAATAAACATAAATGGAAATGTTACACGAGTGCTTGGGCTTGCCTTCAAATTGGATGTTGTTTCCAACCATCCAGGGTAGAATCAATAAACAACGTGGCAGTTTATGCATATTTTTCCAAATATTATTATGCAATATAAATAGGTCTACTCGTACATTGGGTGGGATGTGCGCACAGTTCTGGCCAGAACTTTCGGCGAGAAGTACGGAGCCCAAATTATTGTAAAATAAACAAAATCAGACAACAATCAAGTTTTCGCACAGACTGTGCTGCCGCTGCTTGCCGCATCCTGTTGCCTGTTTTTCAGACCACCCGCACATCCGCCCATCCGCCGCACCTGCTACCGCAACAGCAGCACCAACACAACACCTTGGCCAAAGTTTTTTGTTTGCCTGCAGATTTTCCGAGCACCGAGTTTTGTTTGCTTGTCAATGCAGGACGCCAGAAAAGAAAACAACCAGCAAAATGTGCTCTCCCTGCGACTGTACTTGATAATGCTCACTGAGATTGCATAATGAAATCAAATTGGAAAATAATTTGCATTTTATAAAATAAAGTTTTTGTGTTTTGCTGGGAATGGCCACAAAAAGGATTTCGAAAGGTGTACTATGGGCAGCCGTTTGTTTTTCGGCAATTGTTTTTTCGAACTCTGAGAATTTTTTGTTACTCTTTATTTCCTTGGAAAATTCAAATTTTCTGCAGAAAATATTGTAGGTTGTTGAAAGACAATACTTTACTTCTGCCAGTGACACCGGGGAGTACTCTCTGTTGTAGGCGAGTACCCTCTCACCAGGCTAGTAACTGAAATGGAGAGACAGGGACCTAAAACTTAATTAACTAATCAACTCATCTGAGTTTTTCTCGCACATGTGTAAGCCTTTTTGGGAAAGTTTTCAAAGCGATCTAAATATTTGCGAAACTTTCGAACAGCCATTTCATTCCGTACACTCTTCTCTTCTGCCAACTTTATAAATTAATTGCTGCTTTCAGGCTAACAAATTTAAATGTTATAAGCCAAAGTTTATGCATTTAATAGGCGACTATTGAAATATCGGAAGAAAGTGCAGTGAGGGGTGAAAGTTTGTAAAGAATTCAGGTTGACATTTTGGGTCTGGCAGGGATTTTTGGTCTGGCCTTCTATACAACTTGTGATTGGCATTTTTATTACAATTAATTTATGGGCCTGCACGCTTGAATGCGAACATGAATATAAATGTCACAAATGGCGAACGAATTCATCAATCAATATTCAATTGATTTAATGAAATTATTCTGTTTGATTTTTGCCATTTTGTTTTTGCCCCGTTCATAGTTTACAGTTCACAGTTCACAGTTCAATTGTGCGCTCTGACCTCAATTGCATTCGAATACTCGAGCATGGAATACATGGAAGGCGTACAGCAAGGATGGGTAAAGTTTCCTTTTAATTGCTTTTTACATAATTCACGCTCATTTATCCCATAACTGACTGACAAATTACAAGACCCTAAAGAGACAATGAGCGGTGCCTGGCAAAAGCATGCCAATTTGGTGGAGAGATGTGTCGAGAGATGCCACTTAAACCTGACACAAACAAAACAAGCACAAAACAGGGAGATGGGTATGGGGATGGGGTTGCATGTCCTTTCACATGAACAGCTCATAAAAATGCGATGCGAGCTGACAACACTTTTGTGTTTATGTATGAGTGAAGGTCCTGAAACCATTCTGTAAGAGTACTCGTGCATCCCCCATCCCCCATCCCCCATGCCCCGTCCCCATTCCGCATCACCCATCACCTGGCTTAGGTTTCATGCCTGCAGCAGTGCCACAGTTCTTCCTACCAACACGCAATCCTGTCATGCTCTCAGCCAGCACTCATTCAAAATGAGAGTTTATATGATATACGACGAATGTACGAACTTGTCTGCGAGAAGAGTGTCCTTTTCTGCCATTTGCCTGCTGTTTTGCTGGGGATGTGTTAATTACAGAAAAATTGCGAGAACCTGTATTATTTACATTGTTATCAAGATTGAGCCTGAGATTCCCATTGTGTGGCCCTTGTTGCGTGTCTCTCATATAATTGCATCCACGAGGAGGTGTGTTTGTCTCTCTCTCTCTCTCTCTCTCTTTCTTTCTCTTTGGGTTTGTGCTATAGTTAGGGGAATGTCCGACTATTGTCTCAGGGTTAGCTTCTGTTGTAAGTGAATACCCCTCGGGGCTTCTGAGGGATTTGCTGCGATCCAAATGAGGGAGGGGGAGCATTTTATGTATGCCTCATGATGATAGAAGACATGTTTATGTTTTTGGAGCTTATTTCGGGTAAAGATAAAATATGCAAGTATATTTTAAATTCTAAGCTGGTATGGTATTAGCTGAGTTCTTCAACTAATAATTACAACATAAAAGTAACTTACATGGAATACTATACTGGTTTGCAGTGAATCCGTTTTGTTTAGCCTTTGAATGATCCGCTGGAAAAAGGAATAGATTTAAACTGCTGGAATGCGTCTATATATCTTGGGACATTACTTATTGTGAATGTACAATGTTCTTCACTTCTCCATGTGATCAGCATGTATCAGAGTTTTCTATCATCCGTTTTGGCCCTTCGGCATTCTTCTCTGGAATTCCACTTTAATTGTCTTTTGCCATTCGGCTGAGGCTTGTCTCCTTCTGTGCGTGTATCTGTGCGAGTATCTGTTTTTGTGGCATTGTTCCTACGATTCTTGTTCTTGGTCCTTGGTCCTAGGTCGCTCGTGCTGTTGTTATTGCATTCCTTTGCTTTGGTTTTTCGTAGCGCGTAAATAAATTTCATATCATGACATTTATTACTGACCCTTAAGCTCCCCGCCGACCCCCAATCACAATCCGTATTCCAAAGCCCACGAGCCCAATACATGTGGGCTTGGAGATTACCAACAGTTTTCCCCAGCTCCAGCTACAGCTACAGCTCCAGCTCCAGCATCAGCCCCAGCCACATCCCCGGTTCAGCCTCCACGGATTCCCAATGGCTTTTTCCACAGCCGCAGCGGTTACAATTTTCATTTAAGATTTGCTTTCCTTTTTTTAGTTGGTGTTTTTCCCAGGGTTTCTCTGTGCCCCACTCACATACACATACATTTTGATTTATTTTAGCACTCAATGGGTGGGGTGGGGTAGTGTATAGGTATGGTGTGGTATGGCTTGGTGTGGGGCAAGGACAGTGGGGCCGAGGGTGAACAATGACGAGAAATGCAAAACAAATGCAAAGGAAATGAACGGGGCCTGAAATGAATGCAAAATGAAAGGCGAGCGTGTGGAGATGGAAATGTAGATGGAGATGAAGAAGATTAAATGTAAGTGGAAGACGGCACACAGAAACAATTGTAGTTAATTTACGCGTAGAGAGAAATGCATAACAAATTAATGAGAGGTCCACAATGAAGGAGCACAACTCCTGTGCCTGTCCGCTGTCCGTGCCCCGGGAGAGGACCTGGACCTTGGATCCGTGAGATTCTCTTTTAAAGTTTACTTGACTGTGAAATAAGCGGACAACGGAGGATCCTCGGAATGAATGAACGAATGAATGGGGAAAAAAACGCATTGTCTTTGTCTTTTGCATAATTTATTTATATTTTCATTTTCATGGAGCGTAATTCGCGTAGTTAAGAAGAAAGAAAGGGAGACGCAGCAGAAGCAGATGCCTACATTTCCGCCTCAGCAAATAATTACAAGCTTAATAACAAATTTAATATTGCCGAGGCAGAGACCCGGGCCGAAGTCCGAGTCCGAGTCCGAGCCCGAGACGGAGCCATTTTATTTATTACTTACCCTTTGCTCAGCCTTTATCTGCTCCTCCGCTTTGCTGTGTGTTGTGTGTGTTCCTTCTCAACTGTTGATATTCTCATACGCTTTTTGCGTTTTAATGAGACGCCCTCCCTCCAGCGGCCGATGGGTCCTCTGTTTGCGCACCAATAACAATGAGCATGTCCCTCCTGTGACCCTTTTATTGCCGTCCATTCGGTTACAGTCTTTGCCATTAAAGCACGCAAAGGCATACACACTCGCGTGCACGTACTCGGCTCTTATTTACACTTGTCAGCCCCGGCAGCCACCCCCTGGAACACGCTGTTTGTCGCTCTTTAAGTTGTCTGAAGAGCTGTTGGCCTTGCAATTAGTTAAGGGAGCATGTCAGGACTTCTTCTATTTGTTTCGCTTGTTGCAGCGCAATTTTGAAGCAATGTTGCGCTCTGGGCCACTTCAGAATTACTAAACACACAGAGCACTTGAAGATGTTCCCTGATGCTCTGACTAATTGCCAAGCAAGTCAAGTTCTTGGCCAGCAGGACAAAGGCAAGATTTGAGTGGCATTCTGACTGAAGATCCTCAGCGAGACATGAATAAAGTATAACATTCAAACTGAATTTATGAACTGATTTAAGTAAACTATAAGAAACTTCTGTAGCCTTCACTTCACAGACTGTAAGTATTCCTACCACGATGTCTGCGAAGCTTTTCATTTGGTATATCTAATACAATAAGTAGGCATGTGAATAGAGGAGAAGAACGAAACGGTTGCAACTGAGAAAAGAGCGCCTGTACGTTATCGACACTCACAGAGAAAATGGTAGACAACGCCAGTAAGCACATCGAGCACATCGTTTCTTCGGCTCGCATTCGATTAAGAACCAAATGACATCGCTTGGAGAATCAGAAATAGAGAGAGAGAATAGTTCACTAGTATTAATGTATCAACTAGTATCTCATGTATTTAAGTCAATTCTTTAAGATAGCCATTATGTTCTTTACAAATCAGCACAGCTTTGAGTTATAGCTCTTTCTTACTGTCAGTTTTATATAACATATAAGCTCGTAGAATACATATTTTTAATATTATCAGTAAAATTCTCCATAAAAATCCTAAGAATGGGTAAGATATGTACTTAGTTCCTCGCAATCACTTTAATCGGTTATTAAAAATAGCTTCAGAAGAAGATACAACTAAACTGATGTTGGACCCACCGCTCTTTGTGCCGTGCGACTTGGATACATTTCGAGACCCGAATAAGAAGCGCGTTTTTAGTGAGGCCTGCGAGGAGACGGATAAGCTTAGTGCCCAGGATGAGATCAGTGTATCGAGTATTATATCGGCTCTGCTGCGGCCCATCGAGCCCTCCGATGACCAGTATCGGGTGTGCGACTGGGGCATCAATCCCAAGCAGTTTCTGCCCGTGAAGCAAGCCGTCATTTTTAAAGAGCAGCTGTATATCTCCAAGCTAAGGAACACCAACTGCAAGCTCAACGAGAATCTGAAGATTTTCTTCGAGCGCGAACTGAAACAGATTGGAAGATTCTGCCTGAACGTGGAGGAGGCCTACGATGGATACGTGGTCTTCAGCAGCAGCAAGATGAAGAAGGGCAAGGGCATCGTCGAGTGTGGCCATCAGCTGAAGGGGAAGTACGACGAAAAGTTTCTGCTGATCTGCGAGAAGCGCATGGAGTTCGATCGCGTCGATCATGCCAAGATTGAAAAGACCCTGGAGCTAAGAAACCATGCGGATCTTCTTCTCACAGCGATTCGGGCGACGAAGATCAACGAGGAAACCCAGAAGTTCAAGGCCCGCATCGACATCAAGGATCGTGATCATGTGTTTGTGCTCGATGGAGGCATCATGCTCCTCATGCGGCACTTGGTGTGCAACAATTTTGTGGGCGACTTTGAGTACTACACCATGAACCTCTACGGCCGAGTGCTACGCTGCAATCTGGTGGTGCACAAAGAGCGCAAGGTGGTACGAATCTTCTACCGGACCTACAAGAACACCGTGCATATTGTGACCCAGCAGTGCTTCAACGATGAACTGCAGGATGTGGCCGAGACGTTCATGACCCCCGAAGGCCGCATTGCCCTGCACTATTGGCGCGGCTACAACTATTTGCTGCACGCCGCTTGCATCCCGCCGAAGCGCAAGGAGATGATTCTGCCCAAACTAGAGCTGATGTGGCGTCAGAACACCCAGCTGGCCAGGAAATTCAGAGAACTGAAGGCCCTAAACTATGACAATGCCATAAATTACCTGGAAGGTCACTCCGAGCTGGCCGACTTCATGCAGGACTATGTGCTGAATCTCTTACGCTATAAGCCCAGCAACGTCCTTGAGTTTTCCATCATGTTCTTCCAAAACATGGCCGCTAATTCCTAGTTAAACCAAAACGCTTAATTATGCTTTAAATTGTCAGTCTTAAGTCAGAGAAGTTCTGGAATAAACATCAATCGTTTAGACTATAAAATATTTCAACACTACCTCTCCGGAGCAGAAGCTTCCAATAGATCTTATAATATTTCCTATAATATCTTCTAATATCTTTTATCGCAACTATTTTTAATTACCCTCTCGGAGGGTACTAAACAACAATACTAAAAGATACAAAGCAACAAAATGTTTACATAGTATAACACTATCGGGACCTGCCACGTTTTGCTGTGGTGCACATTGTAGTCGCACGGATTAGAAATGAGGATAACTCAATTGATTGCTTCGTTGATGAACAATAATATCTAGAGGTTTGAAGCTGATCTCCAATTATAAAAATTTCGTCTTCGCTGAGCCGTTCTCAACTGATGAAATACCATATATTTTTCAGTCCTTTTAGTGATAGTGGGTAAATAGATACGACTCGCTCAGACAGAAGAGAGAGCGCGTTGAGCGTTGAGGGATACCTTAGGTGAAAAATCTAGTTTTTGTCTTTAACGTATATTAGGCAAAGAGGTGGATTTTACCTTGCATGCGTGGAATTTTCTTTTTCACCCCAATATATAAGAAATGTGTAGTTACCGTGTAGTTGCCATGTAATAAATTAGAGTCGCCCACACAGTAGCCCCGCTGAGGAATTCACTGTCTGGCGTGTTGCAATGGAAACAGATCCGAATTCTAATAGACACCCGACATATATATATAGATTTAGTATACCAAAATCTGAGCAAATGATTTCAGAAAAATACCTACTGTATAACAGTGGATACGGTATATTCGAGGCTTTTGACAAAGGCAAAAAGCAATCTAGTAACCGTTGCCATACCCGAAAGGCAGATTGAATGTTTATGTCCTTTAAACAAGTGAAACGAAATTTTCAGTCAGAATCTATTTCACGAACAAAGCAAAAGCGAAGCGGAGAAAAAATTAGTTTAAAATAAATATTCTTGTTACTTTTTGTGGTCTTGTGAGTAAGTTAATTGAGGATGAGTTGTGAGGAAAAGAAGACGCCGCACCAGGGAGACGGGGATTGCCAAGCCAAGGTCAAGGACCTAAATCCTCCGGCAACATGTCCGGCTCCATTGATCTGTCCACTGCCGCCAGATCCTCCCTCATTTCGACTGAAGAAGGCTCCGAACCCGGCTAAGGTGGCTTTAGCACCGTACCCCGAAGAGGCTGCCCAGCAGAACATCCACCTGACAGTGGTGGGTCCGGCCCAGGAGCACCAGAAGCTTCAGGCCGATCTCCAAGCCGGAGTAGATCACCAGCAGAAGCAGCTGGCCGACATGCGAGCAGATCAGTACAATCAATCGCAGAAACCCATCTTTACGGAAGAAGTTCAGTTTGCCGTGAGTATCTAAAGTCTTCTAAAGTTTTTCCGTTTCCCTTAATAATCTGTTCGGTGCAGCGTGCCATGGACCCGAATAGGGACAACCTTCAGAATCCGCCATGCTATTTGCCGCAGGCGGGCGACGATCTGCCACACAAGGATCAGCTGATGCCAATGGGTCCGATCGGGCCCTGGGCTTCTGGCAAGGTCGATTGGAGTCCTATGGCAGGCCTGACGGGAACACGTCCTGTGGTGGATCGTTACTCGATCACTCGCTTCAGTCCTAACGAGTGGAGAACAAGGAACCATCAAACGATTCAATTGATCAACGGAGTGCTGGACAAGGCGGATAAGTAATGACTATCTAGTACCCTGATCAGAATGCATACGTTAAACACTTCCTCCCGCAGAAATCGCTTTAGTGCTGCTACAGAGTTCCAGCGACTGTCGGCGTTGGTCACGAAAACCCAGGCGGAAACTACCGACAAGCTGAAGCTGCGATCCCAGTTGATTGGTAAATGGAAGAACACTCTGGAGAATGCCATTAAAGCGATGGCCGACGAGATATCCACAATGGAAGTGGAACGCATAAAGCTGCGCAAGTCACTCGTGATACTCGGCGTTCCGGAGTCAATTGCCAAGGAGTGCATTGAGAAACGCGCCTCTCGTCCCGACACGGAGCTGGTGAGGGATCAGACCGAGGAAGAGCTTGTCAACGAACTGGCTCTGATTGCCGAAATACGGCGCCTGCTGAAGAAGACCCTCGAGGACTTTGAGGCTCAGCAGGTTGAGAATCGCACGGCCAGGCAGCGGTTGGAGTACGACTGGAGTGATAAGAAGGAGGCCTACGAAATCGATACCCTCAACCAGGGCCTCAACAACAACTCACGAACGATTATGTTTCGGCCCGGAGCTGTGCGTCAGCCCCCAGAGCAGGCATCAGAGAAGTACTGGGAGCATTTCAGCATGGAGACACTCGAGGACTGTGAGAAGTGCCGCCAGAAGTCGGTGGCCCTGCGCGCAACCCTCAACTCGATCCTGATGAACGCCGCCCGGGACATTCGCACCCAGGCCGATATAGTAGAGAAGGCTCTTACGGCGCGCATCAATTGCACCCAGGAGGCAGTGCAGCGTTTCGAGAACGATCTTCGCAACATCCTGCAGACCCTCGCCGACACCGAGACCCGCATCCTCACCATTCGCCGTCGCGTTCGCAGCTTCGATTCGGCCATGAAGGTGGCCCAGACGCGAATGGACAACCGCAGCTATCGCCCCAATGTCGAGAACTGTCGAGACGTGGCCCAACAGGACCTCATCGACGAGGTGCACACCATCCAGAGCAGCGTCTCCGCGATGCTCCACGAACTGGACGAGGCCGAGCGGGTCAAGAGTGATCTGGTGTCAGCACGCGCCGTCCTCGAGCGGGAGATAATGCTCAAGCGCCGCACCCTGTTTACGGATCGGGAACGCTGTATGCTGCTTCGCTCACACTACCCATCGGCGAATGCCCTGAGCGGCTCGGCAACGTTCTAGATAATGGTTCTCCTGGAATGGATCAAAATTGTTGAGTTATATTTTATATGGTTCTTTGACGTAGCAGTATATGAGATGCACGTTTAAATAAATTGTAAATGCATTTTTTGAACAGCTCGCAAAAGAGATTGTTAGTTAAAGCTAGGGTTATCTTCCGTCACTCCCCTAGACACTTAAACTAATTCTAGCCTTTTGTCTTTAATTCGTTCGGTAGTGGGTGCCACATATAGAAAGCATATACAGAATATTGTAATATTATTACTGTCCTTAGCGTTCTTAATGCTCTTTTGTTGATTCAAATGGGGAAAGTTTTTATCAGGCTTCTGTTTGGCCTTCTACGACTATGCGGACTTCCGCATTAGCCCGAAAGCTCTTAAGTTGTTTTTAATAAATGCAATAAAATGCCATTAGAGGACAATCAGACACGTTTGGAAATCCATATAACTGAAAGAAATATGTTGCCAACTTCCCATTCGGCCCTTTCGCTCCCTAGCTCCCTCTCACACGTGTTGGCTTCAGTATTTACCGAAACACGTTCAACAGCTAGAACAACACGTACTCAATTTAGAGATACACTAGCTGGGAGAGAGGGTGGGCTGTGGCAATGGTGGGGGGGTGATATTGATTTGGAGGTAGTTGAACATTTGTTAATGTTTGCCTTCCTCGGAGTAACAAATATTGGGACAGTCCCCCGGCTATTGGCCTCTTTCAGTATTTGGAAAACACATGAAGCACGGTATGGATAGGATGTTGTGTCCTGCGTCCGCTCTGAAGCCAATAAATTACCCATCGTACTGTACGACCAGGGTGTAGGAATTCCACACTGAAATGGAAAACTTTATGACTCGTTGAAATTATTTTCACTTCTGAATTTCAGTTTTTATATTTGTAAACTATTTCCACAGCGGGAGGGCCAAAGGTCATTGTTGTCCGTACACGGCCACTCCAAAATTCATTGTCACCCGCAAAAATAGCCAAAAAAGAATTCCAAGGGAACTATGTAACATGTCTCCTTTCTGTCTTGCAATGGTTGTGCTTTGGTCCTGATTCTGGTTCTGGTTCTGGTTCTGTCTCTGGTCTCTTCGTCCCTATTCGTGCGAAGCATTCGTCGGCCAGGATTTATTGCCTCTGAACGTGTTGTTTTTCATATTGTGCATCGCTTGGCGGGAAGCAAAGGGTTGACGGGGTAAAACGCTGGGCGGAAATTTTTCCTGATGGATTCCCAAAAAGTTTGCATGGTTTCCTTGTGCTCCATTTTTTGGGCAAGGTCAAGGATTGGATTGAGCTGACAGGTGGATGAGGGATTGGCTGAGAATTTTTCTTGCTGTGGCCCGTAAAAATGCTGGGTAAATGCTACAAATGGTCGAGCAACCAGAGCTCTTTACGGGATGTGTCAAAGTCTACTTTCAAGATAACTATTTCGAAAAATACTTTTTGAAAATCTGCATGAAGATTAAAGAAAGAGAATCATCTAATAGGAAGTTTGAAGTTTGAATATACTTTCAGAAGAATTGCCTGAATTCACAAAGTTGTTCATTCGAGTCTATTTAATCCTTATCTCTTTGGGCCCTTAAATTGTATTCACTTACATTCAGCAACAGTTTTGAGCTTGTAGCGAATCCAGTTGGATAAACTCCTATAAACCATTCGAGCATACTGGAATGTGCTTTCAAACCGCCGAGTAATTGGAGAATTAGGTTCCAAAACGACAGGAGACCCCAGCTATCGGCAGCATCGAAAAGCAGTTTCGTAAATTTGTACTCTACTTTGTATCTCATCTCCCACTCTTCAGTTCTGCATATGCATGTATGCATGTATGCACATCGTTTTTCTTATGTTTTGTTGTGTGCTGTGCTGTTAATATTTTGTGATGCCGGTAAAAATCACAGCGTGATTTTTTTGGCTCCGATGCCGCGTGCAAAAATTGGCGACCGTTGCCGCATGCCTGTTACCAACCTGCACGCCACCCCTTAACCACAGCAGTATTGCCTGTTTTTGCGTTGGCACCATGCGGCGGCTAAGAAAAAATCTGTTGCATACTTTTGTGGTGGAAGCGCAAACATTTTTGTACATCCCGCTGCGATGAGTAAAAAATGGTCTTCATAGAAGGTGTGTATATGTGTGTGAGAGACCTTTATTCTATGACTTGTTTAAAGTGCGATCCGTAGGCTACTTGAGGCAAACTTTTGGGAAACTATTCGCAGTTGGAGATGTAAAGTTTAATGCCTGGCTGGCGGAGGGGTTGGTGATGGGGACGGGATGCCGCCACACCTTCGACCCTGGGAGGCAATAATTTAACTTCAACGCAGCAAGACATGCAATTTAATTTTAACAAAACCTGACATTATCACACCAGCCAACAACAGGCTCCATACAGCTCCAGCTCACACACACACAGACACAAATACAGAGGGCTGAGAAGGGAGTGAGCGAGTCGGAGGCAGGAACACTGAGCGGTAGCTGCAACACAAAGTTAGTAACATAATAAGTAGCAATTTTCGGTTTCCGCTTTCCGGGCCAAGCGGCAGCAGCGTCAGTGGCTGCAACCTACCATAAAAATACATAAAATTACGCCAGCTAAAAGAAAAAGAGGAAAACTCTTTCGCAGAGGCGGGCAAAGGCAAAGCGAGAAATGCCAGCCACTGGCATCAGCCTGGGGCTGAGGATGGAATTGGGATTGGGATCGTGAACGGGAACGGGAACGGACTGAGGGGCGTGTCTGGTTGCCAAGAAAGTAACTGCATGCAGAGTAAATTGGAATTTTATAGCTGCAACTGCTGGCTGGAGCTGGCAAAGGTGCAACCAGCTGCTGGCACGGCCCGACTTGGTGTCTGCAGCCCATGCTGCTGAAAGTGAGACGCTGACTTGTGCTTTGGGTTCCAGAAAACAATTTCAGCCGAATAATTTCCAGTCAATTCACGCGAAAAAAGATATACATTTAAAAGGTTGATTCCAAATCATGTCACAAATGGTTTTCGAAGTTAAAACTTCTTCAATTTCTAATATTCTACCTTGCGGGTTAATTATTAAGCAAATAATAAATAACTCCGAATTTTTCTTTCTCTGTTGCTTAAAAAGATGCTCTTCGTATAATTGGCCGTTTTATCTTCGCACATTTTGTATACATTTTATTAGCATCGAAATGTTGGCGATATCGCTTCATGGAACACCAACGTTGCCCTATTCCAACAAATGAAGATGCTGCCTGCTGCAATGGCAGCTAAATTAGTTAGAGGCCACCTTCCGCCGTCATGCCAAAGTCACTCAAAGCGGCGACATCAGCGACAACGAGCACGATGATGATGAGGAGGAGTCGAAGCATGAGCTGGGGATGGGGATGTGGATGTGGCGAGAGTAGGACAACAAAGGCTGCCGCTCGGTCTCGGTGGTCGGGGCTCGTTAGCATTTTACAACACTGGCATCGGTTGCAGCACGTAGCACGGCACTGGAACTGGCACCGGCACCGGCATTCGCCGCTCCTAAGATGATTTGTGAACAGTTGCAACTTTTTGTTGCCGCCTCCGGCAGCCATTTTTGATATTATTTCTGAGCTGCCTCTGCACTTCCGTTTCCGCTTCGGCCTGCGCCGTCGACTTGCAGGACTGCATGTAAATGGAGTTTTTTCCTGATCGCTTATCAGATGGAGAGGGAAAGAGCTGCTGGTGTACGCGTGTGCGAGGCATATAATTGAAGTTAATGTGGGTGACTGTTGATTTTATCTCTGCTGTTGACTTGTTGACTTTGCGGGTTAACTGTTGCAATGTTTATGACTTCATTATGCTAATAAAAGATATCACTTTTTTGTGCGTGCGAGTGCGAGGAGAACCCCTGTTTTCTGTTTTAGTTTTTGCACACATCCCGGGCTCTCGTGCAGCAAATGAATACAAAGTGAGTGGCAGAGAGACAGCTTGGTGAACAAAAAGTTTTCTCGCTATCTGTTTGTATCTTTATGAAAGATTTCCCAATATACTCGTACCTAACTGAGGCGATAATAAGCTTATTCGACTTTGAATGAGTTTTGAGCCATTACTATTAGATCCAACAATTGGAAAACGATTAAAACTCGAAAAAACCGCTGAGAATCATAAAACTAGACTTAGTTTTAAATATTTACGTCATTAGTGCCGAGAATGGAAAATTAAAATGGAATGCATTTTTATAAATATATATTAAATAATTATTTTAATTAATATTTTTCCTACAAATCTAAAACAATATATTTATTTTAAAAATTTTAAATTGTTGAAATATGGGAAGTATTTACAAGGCTTTTAAATAAATTTATATTTAAATCACTGAACTCAATTTAATTTACTTAAATATGTTTAAATTTAAGTAATTCCCATTGTAACTCTCATTATTATGTTCTCACATTTGAAGGAGTTGGATTAGTGGAAGAGTAAAACGTAATAAATTAAATCTCATAGAAAGTGGACTGGTGAAATAAGTGGACAAAATTGTTAAATAATTTGTGCCAATACATATTTATAAAGAAGTATTGCTGCTTTATTGTTATACGATATATAGATTAAAGCAAACTAATGGAAAATAATCTATGAACTAATTCCCAGATAACTAAACATTTCAGTTTGAATGAAACAACTTGGGGTATGAACCGTGGTATGGTGCAGAGTACTTAGAGCTAAATCTTTACTCCCACTCGTGCGGCCATTTTTCGATGTTTCACATATGACAGCCTCAGTGCCACAAAAAAAACATTTGATGCATTTCACAGCCCTGACCAACACTTCCTCTCCATGCGCCGCACCTGAGTTCGCTCCCCTCGACTCCGCCTCCTGCAAACAAGCCGATTAGCATACGTTTAGCCCACTAGACGGCACAAGCCACCAAACTCCCGGGCAACCACAACTCCGCGCGAAACCCATTTCCAGCACAGCACCGGAGAGCGGGAAAATCAGTAGATCGTGTCAAAAGCATCAACCGAGGCCGAGGCGCAGTGCACCGCAAGCTTCAAACCAAACCAAAATTCGCTGCTCTGTGTCCGGCCTGTGTACTGGGGCTTGCAGGCCCGGAACGGACTGGTCTGGTCCTGGTGCTGGGTCTGGGCCTGGGCCTGGTCAGCGCTAATGCGGCGTGAATATGCAAGGTACG